CAAGGGAAAAGAAAAGAAAAAGTTTGATCGAAGCGAGGCATGCTTACCAATTTTGCGCTTGCGAGAAGAGGACGTGATCATGGACGCCGCAGACATGGTTTTGCCGTCCTTGCCACACATCCCAGACTCCTTTCTACGCCTTTTGCAGGGACGAGTGTCCCCCAAAGGTGTTACTCCGGCCTTCCTTGCTTTCAACTTCATAGGGCCGAAGGGCTATAGAGACTGTGCGTTTCCATGGAGCACGAATTTGCTAAAGTCCGAGGAGAGAGAGCAGCCTTACCAGGATCAAAGGCTGCTCCTAGTCGGCGTTGCTGCTAGTCGCCTTAACACTGCTCCAAGAAGAAATTCGCCATTAGATGGCGCGCCCACACAAGAAGATGAAATGCAATTCTAAGAAAATGCTTGCTTGCAAGAGAGAGCCAGAATGCCGGCACACTAAACCCTCGGGAGCACGAAAACAGCCGAGAATGCGAGAAATCGAGCCTAGAATCCACGCCATTGCACGGCAGCGGCTAGATATGAGCGCAAGAGCTACAGGAAACCCCGAATTCACCAGAGAAACCCCAGAATCCTGCTGGAATCGACGTACCTTGAGCATGGAAGCGCACTGTAGCCGAAAATCCCCGAGCGGCAGCGTTGCGCCGGCGAGCGCCAGTGGGATCTGCTCCCAGCTCTCCCCCCACACTGCTCTCACTGGAACTCTCCGGCATTCCATCGCGCTAAAGCTTCGCCGGATATTCCCACCGCCGTTTCACACTGGCATCTGGTTAGTTAAGCCAGTAAGAGCGCTGCCTCTGCTGGGTGTGGTTAGGCTAACAAGAGCTGTTAGCGGCAAGGGAAGTTCAAGCCTTGGCGGGATCGGAATGTCCACCCAGTGACCACAAGGCGTAAGATCCCTCCAACTTTACGATCCACCGGCTGGTGCCGGTTGAAACGCAAAAATCTCAAATTGGAACAAATTCGAGCCGTTGGATTCGCATATCCTCTAAATCAGCATATTCGGCTGATTCTCACGTGTGTAAAGAAACGCGTCTGGGATTTAGGGTTCTAGTTCTAAGCCATTCGGGGGACGAAAATTCTCGCCCCTCGGGAAGATGCTCGTCTGCGCCGGCGGCCATCGATCGACCAAGCAGGGGCTTGTTTGATTCAAGCCGCAGATCCCAGAATGGGCGCGTTAAGCTGATCGATCATCTGGAGGTGAGGGTTTAGGCGGCGCCGGAGCTCTCGGTCAGGGTTTGTGGATTATCGCTCGCTCGAGGTAAGAGCCTCGATCTCGTTCTCTCGTGAAATCCCTGAGAAGAATGTCGTCGCTACAGATGGAATTCTGTAACTGGGGAAGCATGGCGAATGCGAGCAGCATTATCCTCTCTTCCGAGGCAATACATGGCGCCGCCGTCGCCTCCGTCAAGATCGCTTCCTACATCTTCGCGTGGATCAAGCTCAAGTCCGCCGCCTTCGTCACTCTCGCACTCTACGCCATCTTTCTGAGGATCTTCATCGCCGAGCTGAGGTACATCTCCTCCCTGTCCATGTACCCGACCTTCGAGGACGGTGATCGCATCCTCGTCGACAAGATCTCCTACTGCTTCGTCCGCCCAGAGGTGAACGACATCGTCTTCTTTCGCCCACCAGCGTCGATCCTCCAGCCATCCTCCGAGAGCGGCATCCCCAACAACATCTTCGTCAAGAGGATCGTGGCGAAGGCCGGGGACGTCGTCCAGGTACTCAATGGCAAGCTTGTGGTGAACGGTAACCCCAGGAACGAGTTCTTCACGGCAGAGCCCCGGCAGTGCGACGTGAAACCGGTGCTAGTTCCCGAGGATCATGTGTTCGTCATGGGCGACAACCGCAACCAGAGCTACGATTCGTGCCACTGGGGGCCGCTGCCCGTGAAGAACATCCTCGGGAGATCGGTGCTGCGCTACTGGCCTCTCCGCAGGATTGGGACGCTGGGAGCACCCGAGAGCTCGTGCAATCCGTTCGAGCGGAGAGGATCACATTTCCTCCAAAAGTCGAGGTCGTGCTGCTGGAGGACGATGAGCCCGTGATCTTGAGAGAAATGGATGGTGTTACTACGTACCCCGGAAGGAGGAGAAGAAAGAAGAAATCTTTCGTGACCAAGCCAAGCATTTGGGCGATGAATCATCCGCGTTTTCTTTGGTGACACGCAACTTCGTTGACAGACACTGGTAAGTTAAAGTTCTTAAGGTTTAACAAGAAAGAATGTTGTCTACCGTACAAAAAAAGATAAAATTGTTTTTTCTTTTAACGTTGTCTACCGTACAACAAAAGTTAGAGTTTTTAGAGGCGCGCGATGGCGGACAAGGAGCTGCGGAGTGCCGTCTTTTCAAGCTTTCTGTGCTCTCCAGCGCAACTGGAGAGGATCGTGGGTAGAATCCTGGGTTGCGCCGTTCGATTTAACGGGATTCTAGGTATGGGGGGTTGGAATCTTGTGCTCGACGCTCAGCTCCACCAAAGTCAACAAGGTAAACGAGAAGAGCGCGTTGCCATTCGACTCCCACTCGGAGGTGAGAGCCGCATTAGAAGCCCGGTGGCGGATTCGGGCTACGCCGCGACGCTCTTCCTGGCGGGGCTGGGCATCCCGACCGTCGTGGCAGGGCCCATCCGCGTGGCATCGCCACCGCTGCCCTACACGCCACGCGGCAAATCCCACCTGACCGTCATGCCCGTCGCCGAGGGCGTGCCGGCGTGGGAGCTGTGGAGGAAGGGTGCCACCGTGGAGTGGAAGAAGACCGTGCTCGCTGACCTGGCAGACGTCACCATCCGGCTCTACCAGCGGCCGTTGGATTCGATGGGGGGCATGGCGGTGGGCGCATCCGACGGTGCCGGGGCTGTCCACCTGGGACCGGTACCGCAGAGTCCGGTGTCCGAGGCGATGGAGCGCGGGATGGACGTGGGGGCTCTCAGCCCCGGGCCTTACTCGTCGTGGAAGGAGTACGCGAGGAACCACACTGGAGGGCTGGTGCTGCTGTATGGAAACAGCCGCAGGTATGGCGAATCGATACGGGCAAACGCGGCGATTTTGCTCAGGTGGCTGGACGAGTTTCAAGAATCCAGCGGCCGGTTTTTTCTTCACCACCCCGACTTTGGACCGCGCCAAGTCCTGGTGGATCCGGCATCGGGGCACGTCCAGTGCATTCTGGACTGGGACGGGGCCAGGACGGGGACCGTGCAGAGCTTGGCCGCTTGTTTCTTTCTCCCGTTTTCCTACTACAGGGAGGAGGATGAGGAGGAGGCCGAGGAGCTGTTTGGCTTCTTCAAGCAGCAGCTGATTCGAGGGGGGGCACCGGAGTTTGCTGGGCATGCGAGGAGGCACTGGTCGCACGAGTCTTGTGATCCTCAGGTTCTGTTCGAGGAGGAGATGGAGATGGGCACTTGGGACGTGCAGGCTGTGCAGCTTTGTGTGGAGAGGCTGTGTGGTAAGTTGCAGAAGCTGGGAATTGTGGGCGGTGAGGAGGAGGTTGCGTGCATGACCCCGCCTTGGAGCAGGAGGCCAAGCTCTTGTTCTTCGTCAGACGAAGGAGAGCGCTCACCGAGCTCTTGTTCTTCTTCAGGCGAAGCAGAGAGCTCCGACGGGAAGGCTGCCACCGTGTCTTCGGTATCGTCTGATGAGCGAACAGGCTCTTCTTGCTCCGGGTCGAGCACGGATTTTGATTTGGATTCGGATGCGGAGAGCAGTCCTAGTGCTTCTTCTGCTTGGTCGAAGGAATCAAGTTCCTGCCGCGCAGGAGAAGATGAAACCTAGTCGGAAGCTCAACGTCTTTGTTGGCTGCCACCTTTTGTAAGGTTTAAAACTTTGTAAAAACTTTAACCATTTCCCTCGCACGGCCTGTTTTCTGTCTTTGTCCATGGATTGCTCGGCTACTGGTGAATCCCTGGTACAGCAGGAGTTAGTTTTCCCACCACTAGTGCTGTCTTTTGTTGTCACGGCTCCAGCTTTGCAGTCTTCAAACCGACTGCATCAAATTCTTTCTTTCCTCTCAAGACCACCCTCGATCTTTCTTGCTTCGCGCGATCTTTGAAACTGGTCACTTGCAAGCATCGTCTAACCCTCCGGATCGCGATCCACAGCTGTGGACGGCGCAGCCATTCGATTGATTAGTCAAGGTGGTTTTGCTTTGCTCTCTCGCGTTTTGTTCTTGTTAAGTCTAATCTTCCACTCCCGGATGCTCCTGTAACCTCCACTGCGAATCCGATCAGATCAAACAAGTATTATATTTCTACCTGTTGTGCTTAATAAATTCTTTAGCGCCGATTCAGCGGAATATCCTTTGACTTTATTCTTTCAAGCTAAAAGACCTTTGAGTTTATTCTGTCATTTGGCGAGCTTCTGTCTCTAGAGATTGCGAGGCTCAAGCCCAGGCTCACTTTGTGCAACGCGTGGCTAATCGAGGCTCTTCTCAACTTCCACAAATCCGGCCCCCGGTTTCAATCTTTTCTGGAGTTTCAACCATGTCCCTGCGTGGAAGAATCACAGCTGTGGAATGTGGAGTTCTGGCAAACCGTCCGCGTTCGAGAATACATTCCTGGAGAAGAAGCACAGCTTCTGGGAAAAGATGAGAATCAGATACCCGCAAAGGGATCTGACAATTCGTCTAACAGGGAAAAATCGAACTGTCGGCCCTCCTCCAACTAGCCATTGGCAAGGGTATAACCGTGGGTGAGTTTATACTGGCTGAATAAAAATAAGTGATCTTGTTCTTGCTGTCATGCCACAATAACTCTGGGAGAGCAAACATGGATGGAAAGAGCTGATGACGATCACTTTGCAGATTAAACAGGGGTAATCTTGCTGGACAAGGGGAAAACTAGGTTAGCCATCTGGCCTTCAATATTCTTTACTTTATTCTATCTACAGAGAAGAATCGAACCCCAGACCTATGCTTTGGGAGACCAGGGTCTTAACCGACTGGTCTAAGCTTTTTTAGTGAGCTACCAAACCAGAACTAGGGCTACTTATTGAGCAAAAAATTTTAGTATAAAGTCCTTGTTGATTGGACTCTTCGGCATCGAACCCGGGTCTTCTACAACGGTTTACCTCTACACTTACCTCATAGCCATCATCTCAGCAACCGGGCTCCGATAATAAAATAACAATACCATCTACTTAAACCGTATGGCAGGATATCTTTGGAAAATACATAGCGTTTTGGTCGATGTCGCCCACCATCCCCCGCATTCTCAATGCTCCAGGCCGGCGCTTCGTCCTTGGAAGAACCCATTCGCGGATTTTGGAGATTCTAGATTGGTCGATCTTGCGCTTGATCGTTGTGTTGAGCTGAAGAAAAGAGAAGAGATGCGTCGCCCAACTTCTCCATTGTCATTTCATAAACTTGCCTGAACTTGCTTTGTCGCTTGAAGCCACCTCTGTAACTTACTTGTTGACGAACTGCAAGTGATCATCAGGCAACCGATCCTTCGTAACTCTGAAAAGCTTACCACTACCAACGTTTCTGGGCCTCCTGTTGTATCTAAACTAATAGGCACGAGCTGTTACAATGGGTCAAATGAATGTCAAGAAAGACAAACCTGGATGAGCGCTCGAGTATTCTCATTCGATTCCCCTTCGACAGGACCAGCCACTGCCAGCTTTTTTAGCACTTGGCATCTACCAGCTCATCGGACAACTTCACAGAGCGTCGCTTGTTTTCTCCTTGGTTGTCAAACTGCATCAGCTTCTTGGCTTAGCATGACGAGGCATTGCTTGCGAGGTCATACTCCAGCCTACACAACAGCAACTCGCTCAACACAAAACCTCTTCGAAATGTAAGTGACAAACCCACCTTCGGAATGCCAGGCAGATGTAAAGCTTCAGTAGCACAGCCCATGCCTAGCATAAACTGAGCAAGGTCGTCCAATCATGGTGCTCTCGTCCAAGCCTGAAAGCCCTGCAAAACAAGAACTACTAGTAAAGCAAGTACTACCAATCAGTAAAGCATACCATTTCACAGCGCTAACGTCTCCGTGAGCAGCAAGACATCGGTGGATAAACCATGAACCTGTCATACAAAGTGCACGTCCACAAATGATCATGCTCCGTTAAAATGAACGCAATCCAGTTACCTGTCAACAATCCAAAGGACGCCGTCTCAGACTCCAGGACGCTTGTGCTCCATAGGTGATCTGGATACTGCTACAGCAACGCCGCCTCCCCCATCGCAACGCCACGCCTGCAACCTTCTTGTCTTCCACATCCACATCCGTTTGGTCGGGCGGAGGCCGTGAACTTGAAGGTGCAGCGTGGAATGGAGCGAGCCGGACAACCTGTGACAGAAATAAATTTACCAAACTTCGAAGCGTATAACCAACGTACCTGTAACAGAGGTGGTCGAAGTGTCCACTGTCAACAAAGCAATCTGCCATGGAGGCTCCCTGAGCTGCACGGTTTTTCATCTCTTCCTTCTTTCAACATCAATGGCGCGTACCCCCGCATCAACGAACACACACCTGCACGGTAAAACTAAAAGTCAGGTGCACATTCACAGCAAACACAAACTGACTCGAGAGAAACGAAATCTTTGTACAGTAATAGAGAGTTCCTGCAGAAATAATTTGAAATACCTGTATCTTACCCTGAAAGAAGTCAGATGGCCAATGCCATCTTGGTTACAAGTTGAGGAGGTCCCCTTGGTACTTTGGCCATTTCCATACCGTGCACACCACCATCGTGAGCCTGCAGAGGCAAATCAGGAAAGAGCAATTCCATTCATAGCCCCGGACACCAAAAGCGTCTGGAAATCCAGAGATTTAACTAGGCTCTCTATCAAAACCCGACAGCTCTCAACTTACCGCCCCGCTAGACGTCATAAAAGCCGTACCAACTCCACAAGCGAAGCGTAGAAGAAACTCCACACTGGCATCACCCAGGATGACGCTAGATAAAAAAGAAATGATGCTCACAAACATACCATCGCTTTGTTTTCCAGGATTTGTTTGCCGAGCACGCACTGTGCTGAGATCGAAGAAGATGTCTTTGTTCTCGCAGCAGACAACGAGGAAGTGTCGGCCTCGAGTGGAGCCAGAGCTACCCGAGAGAACGGGATGGAGAGAACTGAGCTGGAGAGGAATGAGCGTCCGCTGCAGCTGTCCAACTGATCCACCCATTCCGTCATCGTCAAATCTGATGTGCTTCACACTGCCAAGGCAAAGAAGAAGAACACCATTACAAGTTACCAAGGAACCCTGTCACAGTCGTTACCTTTCTCCACGAATTTCATATCTAACAGAGTGGATCAAAGAGACGCATCCAGAAATATTTTCCCCGGATCTCCACAACGAGGCACTTGGCATCCACGCCCCAGCATTGAGCTCATACAGGAGCTAGAATCCCCGAATGTGAGGTTTCCCGATTTCCCGAGCAGGAGCAGCTGATGCTCCCAGTCCCAGACGACAACGGCGTCAGATCCATGAGCAGCTGCGAGCCAGGGCTGCGGAACTCGAGCTGGACGATCTTGTCGTTCGTTGCTGGGGCGAAGCGAAACGATGATGGAGAAGGGGAAAAATAAACTAGGGCTCAAGCTTTGCAAGGATTATTGCCGCATTTTCCCACTCTATTCTATCTATAGATACAAACAAGAATCGAACCTCAGAGCTATTGTTTGGGAGACCAGGGTCTTAACCGACTGGTCTAAGCTTTTTTAGTGAGCTACCAAACCAGAAATAGGGCTACTTATTGAGCAAAAAACTTTTGCATAAAGTCCTTGTTGGTTGGACTCTTCGGCATCGAACCCGGGTCTTCTACAACGGTTTACCTCTACACTTACCTCATAGCCATCATCTCAGCAACCGGGCTCCGATAATAAAATAACAATACCATCTACTTAAACCGTATGGCAGGATATCTTTGGAAAATACATAGCGTTTTGGTCGATTGTCGCCCACCATCCCCAGCATTCTCAATGCTCCAGGCCGGCGCTTCGTCCTTGGAAGAACCCATTTGCGGATTTTGGAGATTCTAGATTGGTCGATCTTTGCGCTTGATCGTTGTGTTGAGCTGAGATAAAGAGAAGAGAGGCGTCGCCCAAGTTCTCCATTGTCATTTCATAAACTTGCCTGAACTTCCTGTCTGTGAGGGACCTCTGGTTGAAGCCACCTTTGTAACTTAGTTGTTGACGAACTGGAAGAATTCATCAGGCAAGCGAAATGCTTTATTACTCTCAAAAGCTTACCACTATGTTTACATGGTCAGTCATGTCAATATTCATTATCACAGCTTCAAGACACACCTCATCTTCTCAGTGGAGGTAAAGCAAGACGAACAGCTCCTCCTCCTCATCTCGCCGAGAGTATGCACGGCGTCATTCTCCATGAAGCTACGCATCGTCCAGCCTCGCCAACTTGAAGCCATTCATGAGAGTGGTGTAAGTAACCACGTCCGGAGAGCTTCCAGTCTCGGGCATCCTCTCCAGCTGGTTCAGCGCCTCGTCCATCTTTCCGATTTGGGAGTTGTTGCTGCGCCCCAAGAGATCGATCACCTGAGATCAAGGCCTGCTCCAGCCGCTTCAGCTTGCAGGGGCCTGGCCGTGTATGGCTGGAAGATGGTGGCTGGCGGCCACTTCCTCAGCAGTCATACTCCGGCAGAGCAGCGTCCAGCCAGGCCTCCTTGCACAGAGCGGTGATCTTGGCGTTGCACATACCTCGGCATCGAGTCGTCGCCAAAGCCGTGCAAGGTGCCAGGGAAAAGACTATCTCGGGCAGGAGCTCTTCGCGCGCGATCGTAGAGGCAAGCCCGGAGGAGAACACGCAGGAAGCAGATGGGGTGGCAGTAGCGCGTAGGAGAAGAAGAAGACGGCATCGCTGAAGCCTGGATGATTTTGCCGGTACCTCCAGGAGGAGACTCTCGACTGTGCACGGCCTCAGCTCCTCGGGAGGAGGATGCTGCCGACGCGAGAAGAATTCCAGTGGAAGAATGAGAGAAGGAGGCAATGGCGTTGGAAGATGAAGGTAGCAGCCATGCAAGATCGAATCTGATCCTACCAATCATTTAATAAAATTCAGCCAAAAACAGATTGAAATAAGCAAGTTTGGCGCAACATTTTGATCTGTGCTATGAATTTTAAGGCCGATCAAAGCGGACACGGGCATTTTTGAGCTAGGTTACTTTAAAAAGCGGTAGTATGACGGACCAAGTGTGGATCAGCAGGGACGATGGAACGACGTGGAAGGAGTGCGAATCCAAGTTCTTGTCCGAGAGGATCCTCGCCGCCAAGAGCTCCGGCACGACCAAATTCGCCTTCTTCTCGGGATGCCTGGCGCTCACGGTGGTCGACTTGAAAAAGATGACAGTGTCCAAGACCTGGGGCCGCAAGCCATCCAAGATCAAGATCTCCAAGTCAGAGTCTAGCTCCACGCCAGAGTCTGGATCCAAGCCAGACTCTAGCTCCACGCCAGACTCCATGGCTGCAACCTCGCCAGACTCCATGGATGCAAGCTCGCCAGATTCCATAGATGCAAGCTCGCAGCGCATGGTGCCGGTGTGGCATCACTCGGCTCTTCAGCTGGTTCCAGTGCCCGGCGAGTGCTCCGAGGGATCAAAGCTCACTGGAAAACAGTGGCTGGACTGGCTCGTGGACAACAAACTCGCAGAGTTCCTGGAGAAAGTGCATGGAGGGAGTGACATGAAGCTGAGTCCTTACGTGGTCACGCCCGGGGAGCGGGAGAAGCATCCGATCTATAGCAAGTTTTGTGAGGCTTTCTACAACCCGGAAAGAGGTAAAGTTTCCATCTTCTTTCCAATGCGATCTAATTGGAAGTATAGGAACGGAGATGGGATCGATTGGCATCGGCTTCCACGGGACTCCCGAGGTTAACATCGATTCCATTCTTCGCAATGGATTCAGCAAGAGCTGCCACGCAGACTTCTACTTTGCGAGGTCGGCCGTGTTTGCTAGAGATTATTGCCGCCGCGGCCATCAGCTCTCACGCGTTGTCATCGTTTTGGATATTCAAAGCAAAACAAAAGATGGCAACATTTGCGTAGTTCCATGCGGGACACCACATTACTTACTCCCAATCGCTACCTTTTGGATTTAGCTTTTTGAGCAGGAAGATATTTTAGTACATTTTTTTCTAATCTTATATGCCAATCAATTAGACTAATCACTTATGCTAGTCTTATGCAATTAAACTAATCTTTTATGCTAATCTTTTGTAGCAGCCAGCCTCTAACGGAGGAAGATTATGAAAGGTTATATATACTTCAGTGTTAGATGGGGTTAAGGTACTACATTGATAGGTAATTTAGTGAGTATGAACAAAATCACTCAGTCTTCTTGATGTTGTTTACTTCCTCTTTTGGTCCACATGGCATGCCTTTTCACAAGAATTTTTTTTAAAAAACACACACACATGTTTTTTAGATGGGCTACATTGGCTCTTTTCATTGGTTTTTAAGACATTCAACGTTTTAGATTGGTTTTCTATGTATAAACCCTTTGATTCCAATATATAACTCCAGACTAATCTACATTACCAATGTATAAACCCTTCCAATTCAGAACTATTGGAGCGGAATTGCAATTTCTCCATAATGTTCTCTGATGAAATCAAGCAGGAAGTCTTTAGCCGACGTCCATCGACTTTGCTGCGTGTAGCTTGGACCAGTTTTGAACTGTCTTCATGTTGTACAGGTGTATCTGGTGTTGATCTCTCTAGTAACTTCTTCTTTGAAACTCCTTGCTTCTCCCATATGTCTGTTGATTTTCAAGTAAATCGGTGAGGATGCCTGGAAAAATCAGAGATGACACAGACGTAATAGAAATAAAAGAACGAACCAAGCTTTGGAAAATGTCCCTGGCTTGAACAGCTCCAAGCGGTCCCTGTATGAAAAGGGCAGAAATTACACTTATTTATAAACTAGTATTATGGTTGATCAAAACATCTTCCTTGACTCTGGAAATGCTTCATCAGACGATAGAGGAGGCTCTTGACTAAAACCTTGGAGGGGGAAAACTTCTTGGCAGATAGTAGAGTTTTAAACGTTGAGAGAATAGCGCTTGGATGACAAAAGCAAAGTACCTTGACCATGTCTCAGCTCCTCAAGACAAGAGGACAGCATTGTGAGCATCATTGTTTCCAAAACGTTCAAGCAATGACACCAAATTTGATTTTGGCGCCAAAATTTTGAGAGGGTTAGGGCGCGCGCTCGAGTTCTTCGCGCAATCAAAGGAATGGTGGAGCTCCGCGATCTGCCGCTCCAGGTTAATTTCGATTTTCAAGAGCTCCTGGGCTACAAGAGCATGATTTGGATTGATTTTGCGCGCTCATCTAGGCCCAGGGCGCAACGTGGGGATTTGGAGATCACGAGGACAGCCGGGCAATTTCGCCGCGAAAGAAGCGATCAAAAAAAGTTCTTTATTGGCTGCGACGATGGAACGACGTATCCTCGCCACCAAGAGCTCGGGCACGGCCAAAATCGCCTTCTTCTCGCGCTCACTGTGGTCGACTTGAAAAAAGATGACAGTGTAAGACCTGCATCCAAGATCAAGATCTCCAAGTCATTATTGCCGCTCTCTCGCGTTGTCATCGTTTTGGATATTCAAAGCCAGGAAAAAGATAGCATCGTTTCCAAATCGCTACTTTCTGTTGATAAATTGTTATTGATTTACAAGACAACCATACAAGTTCAAGTTTTTCGAGTAAAACCCATGCGTAACTATAGGTAGCTCACACCTTGCTGGAATTGTTGATATTCCCATGAAGGCTTTGGCTCGATGGTCAACTAGATCTGCCATCCAAGATCAAGATCTCCCGGGTTTTCGGCTCTTTAGATGGTTCCAGCGAACTTCTTCGTAATGGATTCGATCCCAGCAGGAGCTACTGCAAAAACTTCTACTACTCGCGAGGTCAGCTGTATTTGCCATGTCATCGTTTTGGATCTTCAGAGTCAAAAGAAAAAGATAACGTCGTTTGCACTGTTCAGTAAGCAATGTCATCCATGACATTGCTTACTCCCAATCGCCACTTCTTGGATCTAGCGCTTTGCCATGAAAGAAATTCATTACCATTATTAGGGCAAATTTGAATTCAAATTTGGCATATTCTCTACAAGATTTTAAAGAGCCCTACATTCCGGTCAGGATTTAGGGTTTATCTTCATGGCGATGGGACTCTTGACCTGGTGCTTCCCATCGCTCCAGCTGATCCACGCGAACGCCCACTCGATCGGCGAGCTTGGCGCCGCGGAGGCATTCACGGTGAGCGTGTAGGCGAGTTTCTGGCCGATCTTGGTGAAGGCGAGCTTGGAAGGCGCCACGGTGATAGACGCGGCTGTGGAAGCCTCGGCATTGGTGATGGTAGCGGTGTAGGTGGATGCTTTCTCGGGGCCGACGTTTGTGAGCGTCCGCTGGGATGACTGGGGGACCGCGATTTCGAGCGCCGGGAAGGAGAAAGAGGGATAGTTGAGAGGAGGCCGGGGATGCTTCTTGGGCGATGGACAAGTAATGTTTGGGTTTCCAGAGATTGTTCGCAGCTGGGCCGAGGTGAATCCATCGCTGCAAAGGTGAGTCACGTAGTCTGCGACGTCCAGATCGTAGACAAGGCCAGGATCAGCTGCTAGGACCGGCTGGACTTCTCCGGTTCCATAGTCGAATGGAGTTCCAGTGTCTCCAGAGTCGACCTTCATCACTTTCTTGGTATTGTCTAGATTGTTTGCTGCAAGAACAAGCGAAGTCTTAGATCACGTTCTCACGGTTTTTCTTTTTCTTTCGTTTGCAGGGAAGAAGAAAGCTTTACCTGTTGTCATGATGGCCGACTTGATAGCCGCTGGACTCCATTTCGGGTGGAGCGATTTCACGTAAGCGATGACTCCCGTGGCATGAGGACAGGCCATGGATGTTCCGGTAAGAAATCCAAACTGTTGGTTAATTTCTCCATTCTCGGTGGCTATGTTGTCAGGCCAAGCTGCAAGGATGTGAACTCCCGGAGCAGCAACATCCGGCTTCGAGCATGGAACAAGAAAAGAAAGCAGAGAACAAAGGTCTGAGTTAACTTTGTGCTTTGGAGAGCTTGCAGCTTCTTACTTTGAGAATGCTTGGACTGAATCTGCTAGGTCCTCTTGCTGAGAAATACGGAATGACTGGTGCGCTTGAAGTTGGCAGTCCTTGGCTGGGCTGAGAAAATTCCAAGTAAACATGCTGAAATTTTTTTCAAAGTGAAAAGCTTGCTACTATACCGATTCTGATGTCAAAGAGCTATCGCCCCTGTCCGTAGTGCTTGCAGCGATGCTTAACATCCAAGGAGCAAAGTTTGCGATGGATCCCATCATCGGACCACTGTTTCCAGCCGAGGTTGAAATACTGATCCCGTGCTGAGCGGCATGAAAGGTTCCAATCGCAACGCTGTCTTGGTCGAACGACGCTGGCGTCTCGGCACCGAGCGAGATGGACAGGATGTCGACTCCATCTTTTATAGCGTCGTCAAAGGCAGCCAGGATCCCGTCGTCGCTACACTTTTTGAAGATCCAGCAGACTTTGTACACGGCGATCCGAGCTCCCGGTAAGCCTCCTCGAGCTGTTCCTTTGGCTGTCCCGTCTGAGTTTGCTCCTGGAACTTCTCTTCCTGCAGCTGTGGACGCTGTGTGTGATCCGTGCCCGATCTCGTCCCTGCCGGATTCATATCTCCTCTGGCTTACGCCGAGCTCGTAGTAGCGAGCTCCAATTACTTTCCTGCGAGAACATCCTTTCAAGTCGAACAGGAGCCATGCAATACGAGGATGAGGTACCTGTTGCATATAACTTTTTCCGAGACGTTAGTGGCACCGTTTACGCATTGTCCTTTCCATCTCGACGGTACAGGTCCCATGCCGGCGTCACTGAAGCTCTTGGATTCCGGCCAAATGCCTTCACGAAGCCAGAGTTAGAGAAAACCAGCGAGACAAGAACCAAGGTACGTACCAGTATCTAGTAGACCGACTATCACGTCTGAGGATGCATTTAATGGGACTTGTTTGGACAGTGAGAGGCCTAGGAAGTCCCACGATCTGGTAGTATGCAGCTGGATGTTTCTGCTGCGAAAAACGCTCACAACTCCGGGCATTCCTGCAAGATCAAAAGGTGAGATTTTCTCCTCTTGTTTTGTATTCTCAGCTGATCACCTTTTATCTTTTCAGCTTCATCCGCTGTCAGTGTTGCCGAGAATCCACTGAAAGCATAGTTGTAACTATACCGGATCTTGCTCGCTGCCATCTCCATGCTGGAAATGAAGAAAAAGGATGTCGTCTATCAGCCAGGAGGAAAGAAAGCAAAAAATCGCGACGATCTGTAAGTTCTTTAGCTTGCCTTCCAAAGACTTGCGCAAGGATTTGATGGTGTCCTGCAGTGACCGATGCTGGCTCGATCCCGGCTTGTTTTCCTCCCATGTAAACAACATAAGTCTACGAACACACAACACAGGTAAGCGATCGCTCTTTCTATCAGTCGAGAATTTACTACTCACTTTGGTAGTGGGATCATCGTAGGCTCTTCCAGATGAAGTGACGCTCAAACACAAGAGCGCTGGGAGGACGATGATCTTCCAGAAATGCTGGAACGCCATGGAGTTTCTCTTGAACAGCGCAAGCTCTTCTTTATTCGTTCAAGCCTTGATCATTGGATGCTCAGCCCAATGGATGAAATTTCTTATGCCGATTTTATCTTCATGCTTAAGCTAGTTTTCTTGTTTTGTTACAGCTATCTACGTGTGGTAAAGTGGAGCATATTTTTGATAGTTTGTGACTGATTCTCTTCTTATACGCTTTTAAAATTTTCTTCCCGCCAAGACTCTAGGGTTCTTGGGCATGGCGCCTCAAAATCTTGGAGCGTTTGGCAATCCGGTAGGCTCGATCTCTGTCTCTCCTCTCTGATGTAGCTGATTTCCAGGCCAGCAATGACGGCAAGCGTCGCCGAGAGCAGGATCTGGCAGCTCCGCCCGTCTGGAAGAGGTTATCGATTCATGAACGGTTCTCGTCTGGATTTGCTAGAGAGGAGATTTTGCAGGAAATTGCTCCAGGGATCGCAATTCACCAGCGGTGTCGTCGTTCCGGTGAGTGGAGTGTTTAGATTTCGTGTTGGTGGGAGGAGTGGATGGATTGATTGTAGGTATTGCCACTTCCAAAAGACTTGGACTTGGACTTCGAGGAGAACGAAGCAGCAAATAACCACGCGAGCTCTTCACTGTTTAGAGGTGAGCTTGGATTTTCATTCCATAACTGTCTCTTAAATCGAGTTTCTTTAGAGGAGATGGAAAAGCTGGAACTTCCGTCTCTACCTTCCGTGATATCTCAGGCTCGACCAGAAATGCTTGAGTCTTTCCAACGCTTGGTTTCCCCAAGCTATTTTCCACTTGAAACTGGGAACAAGAGCGACAGGTTTGTTTTTCTCTTTTCTTGTGGCAATGATGAAAGCTCTACTGTTCTGCAGTGACAAGGCTCCCCTCTCACCTTCTGGCGTCCACAACGACGATCTCGCTTTCGCTGCCCAACTTTTGGATTACAAGCGGCTTTCAACAACGCGGAGAGAATAATGAGGGAACAAAAACCTCGTTGTTTAAGCTTGCGAGTTGGCTCAGGTAATTGCGTGCTCTATCCTGCACCCCAAATCTGGTCCAAGATCCCGGCTTTATAAAATAAGCAGGCTGGAGAGGAGGATTCTGATGGCGAAGTGGTTTTGGATGGTCGCATATTTCGTGTTTTGGGAGAACTTGACGTGACGAAAAGATGGGCAATCGCAAGTGACCATCGGGTCCCGCAGATGAGAGTGGCTCTTGTTTTGTCAAAGAAGCAACTGGTATGTAAGGTCTCGCTAGTTTCCACTCACCGGTCCTGACTCTGTTGCAGCTTTTGCGTCTGCAGACCTTTCGAACACGTTGGCGTTCACACTTGGAGCTAAGCCACTTCCACCAAGTGTAAGCAAATGATGTTCTCCGTTATCATTGCGAGCAGTGTATCTGTTGCTGCTTATTGGGCATCGGTTAGTGGCCATGACAAGGACCACGCATTACGTGGTGGGTCTCCATTGCTCTTGATCTCCTCTGCAAGTTGGTTTGCTTCCTTATATATACTATCCTTGCTGCTGGTTTCTAGCATTCATTCTCGTTTCATTGTCTCATTTTTATTCATTCGGCTCTCGTTCATCTTGGCTGCGCTACTGTTCTGCATGATCATATGGAGCTACTCAAGCCGATTGTTGTGCTAACTTGTCTCTTGTCGATCCTCGTCCTGCAGGTTGCTGAAGCTCGCGACAAGACGTTGGTTGGCAATGCAGACTCTTACGATCACCCTGAGTTTGGAGGCTCCGTGAAGAACCACAAGCCCGGGCATGGCGTGGTCCAGCCAGATGATCACAAGCCTGGCCACTCGGACGTGTCGACGAACAATCACAAGCCCGGGCACACCGGTGGGTTTCACACAGAGAACCACAAGCCTGACGCAGCTATACCGCCGTATTGGACAGCGGGAGAGATGTCAACGAAAAATCACAAGCCCGGTCACTCGGACGCGTCAACGAACAATCACAAGCCAGAAGTTCACGTTGACAACCACAAGCCTGGTCACACTGGTGGAGTTTCAACTGACAACCACAAACCTGGTCACACCGGTGGAGTTTCGACTGAGAACCACAAGCCTGGTCACACCGGTGGAGTTTCTACGGAGAACCACAAGCCCGGTCACACTGGTGGAGTTCATACGGAGAACCACAAGCCCGGTCACGGTGATGCCGTCGCTCAATCTTTTGCCACTGTAGCTGCGGATGTTTCGACAAGCAACCACAAGCCTGGTCATCAGGACTTCTCGTCGAAGCACCACAAGCCTGGTCACGGTGATGCTCACACGGACAACCACATTCCTGGTCACACTGGTGGGATCCACACGGAGAACCACGAGCCCGGCCACCCGGCTTCCACTGCTGGCGTTCAACCCGACGGTCTGCTCGGTGACATTGCTCGCCATGTAGGCAACGGAGTTGGCAACGTGGTTGACGGACTCGTAGGTGGTGGCTCGGGTGCCGGGCTTGGACTCGGCGCTGGAGTTGGCTACGGTGGTGGAAGCGGCTCTGGCGCCGGTAAAGGCTACGGTGCTGGGACCGGATATGGAGCTGGCTCTGGAAGTGGAAGTGGCTCGGGATATGGTAAAGGCACTGGCGCCGGCTCCGGCTATGGAAGTGGCTCTGGAAGTGGCTCTGGCTCCGGCTCTGGCTATGGAGGTGGCGCGGGACACGGTGCTGGAAGTGGAAGCGGCTATGGGAGTGGAAGTGGCAGTGGAAACGGTGCTGGAAGTGGAAGCGGCTATGGCTCTGGTGCGGGTGCAGGACACGGTGCTGGAAGTGGAAGTGGATATGGCTCGGGCTCTGGTTCCGGCTCTGGTTACGGCAATGGCTATGCTCCGGGACATGGCGATGGCTATGCTCCGGGACACGGCGCTGGAAGTGGATATGGCTCAGGCTCAGGCTCAGGCTCTGGCTATGGCGAAGGTGCCAAAGGTGGTGACGGCTATGCGCCGGCACACGGTGCTGGAAGTGGATATGGCTCGGGCTCTGGTTCCGGTTCTGGCTACGGCGAGGGTGCCAAAGGTGGCGATGGATATGCTCCGGGACACGGTGCTGGAAGTGGATATGGCTCGGGCTCTGGCTCTGGCTCTGGTTATGGCGAAGGTGCCAAAGGTGGCGAAGGCCATGGTTCTGGTTCTGGAACTGGAAGTGGCTATGGGAGCGGGGGAAATGGTGGCGGAAGTGGCTACGGTTCCGGCTCTGGTTCCGGCTCTGGCTATGGAACTGGTGGAAATGGAGGGAGTGGCTATGGCTCCGGCTCCGGCGCTGGCACTGGCTCGGGATCTGGCTATGGTGGAAATGGAGGCAGTGGATATGGATCCGGGTCGGGGTCGGGCAGTGGTGGCGGTGGCGGCTACGATGGCGAGAACGAAGGAGAAGTCGCGGGTCCGGGATACTAGACGATGGCTCGGAGTTTCTAAAAGCTTGGTATCATAGAATGAATGATATCAACATATAGTAGGCTTAAACGTTAAACATTGTAAACGTTGTGGCTTTGATCATCAAAATAATATGGTTTGATTTATGTGAAGAAAAAAGAGAGAGCTTATTTCTAGTCTTTGGGTTTCTTGGATGGAGGAGCACCGTTTGGATACTTTGGTGGGAGATAGACCCGGTCGTGGAGGTAGTTCTTCCTGCGAATTCTCACTTTGAGGAACATGGTGCGCTTACCTCCCGGGAGTGGCAAGTCGGGTGGTAGCCGGATTGGTACTTGGAAGTGGCCGAGTTGCGTGAGCGGCTCCGGGAGATCGAAGTGCCGCTCCACCACTTCGATCTGGAGTTGCCTCGCTACCTGGTTTCGATCCATACATGGTTTAGATGAGAGTTTTTTTGGAAGTGGTGCTTGGATTACCTCGGGTACCAAGTCGCGAGCAGTGACGGGGAATCGCAGTGTGGTGGGATCCTTGATGATCTTGTAGAGAACCTGGGAAAAGATTTACACAAAAAGAAATGAGGAAACGAGAGAGTGGATGTACCAGGCCACGGGTATCGAATCGATGGAGCATTCTCTCGATGTCCCTCCTTTGGATCTTGTCCTGCTTTTGTCTCTCGGCTTGTTCTTCGTCCTCTTTGGCGACTGTTGGTGGAAAGAACTGGAAAAAAGAAAAGGAGAGATCAATCCACATGAGCAGTGTTTCTTCTTCTACCTTGAGATTTTGCTTGACCAAGTTAACGTATTTCTCGATCGCAGGCATGGCCTTGAGCTGTGGACAAAGATAATTCCGCGCATAGCCAGCGGAAACCTTGACAATGTCTCCAGCCTCCCCCAGCCGATCCACGGGCTGCCAAAATCGAAGAAATCTCTCAAAACCGAAGGAGAAGAGCGATGAATCGAGCACAGACCTCCGTGAGAATGACCTGGAGGAGCTTCTTGACATGCCGCGCTTGCAATGCGCTCGCTCCGCCGCCGCTCCGCCATGACTAGCAGCGGCACAGAGAAATGTGGATCAGCTAGCGCGATGGATGGAGAGATCGATGGAGCATAAACCCTAAACCCTCTCTCTCGCCTACCTGGTGGAGGAGAGACGAAGACGAAGAAGCAAGGCGACGAGAGACGATCATTGGACCGCCCTAGATTCCCCGCGCATATACCTTTAGGGCTTTTAAAAGGAGAAGGGGAGAAAAAAAGATCCATCCATGGACAAATGCGCGACGCTGGAGGAAGAGTACGCGGAGCTACAAAAGGTTTGATCGATCTTCTTCGCTATCGATGATGGAATCCATTGAAATTCTGGATGGATCGCCCAGGAGAGCTTGGAAATCACTGCGCTCCTCCGCCGCGCCAAGCAGAACAAGCGATTGCTCCTGGCGGAAGTCAGGTGGCTGTCGCTAGATCGATTGGTTTGATTTGAGTGATCGATACATCCTTGTTTTGGTCAGATTTTTGAGAGATCGCGTGGCAATGCTGGAGAAAATCTCCACGCCCATGGGGGAATCGCTGCTGGAGACCGATTCAAGCGATCAGCAGCACGCCCTCGAGCCGAATTTCATCGATCACGGCAACCCCTGCGAGTTCCTGGTGGCGACCAACACGAACTACATTGATCTAGACGACGACTAGTGCGTACGGCGGGGATCCCGGCCGTCGGAATCTAAATATACGGAAAGCGATCCGACCGTTGAGACGAAACTCTTGTCCACGTGGCTTTTAAAACAGAGCTCTTAAGTGTCTAGGGTTAGGGCATTTGGGATTTTTTGGGAGGTGACAGACATGGCGCGTGCTCAGTGAGATTGCGCGCATTCCGGTCGATTCTCCTCTTCTGGAGCTCAAATCCGTGCGCGCGTAGCGTGCGAAGGTGAGATCTCTCGCGCTCCCTCCTCCTCTTCCTTAGGTCGGGCTTGATCTTCCCGCTGTGCGATCATTAGGGTTTTGGGGTTTTGGAGGCATTGTATGGGAGATGGCCGAAGCTGCCGCCGATGCCCATCCCAACAACAAGAGGAAGCACAATCCCAATGGCCTGGCCAACGAGAGCAAGGAGCGGGTGATTCCTCGCCTTCTCAAGGAGCCCAATCTCTCACACGCCCCGGACAACTACGATGATCTCGTCAACATCGAGTACCCGCCCTCTCTTTACAGCACTATGGAGCAGTACCTCCCTTCGCATATGCTCACGGCTCCCAGGGACAAGAAGCTCGCGTTTATGGATCGTGTTCTCGTCAAGTATCGTCCCAATGGAGAGCGTGCCAGGGTAAAAAATTGTTTTTGTTTCATCTCCGTGGTTTCTTACGCAGCATTCTATCCAGAAGCATCGAGAGTACAGGGATAGAGTGAAGGATAAGTATAAGGTACTGTTCCTTTTTTGTTTGTTCTTTCCGAGATCTAAAGTTGAGCTTGTGCTGGCAGCGTCTTCACGAGGATCTTTACACTCTAGACCCGGATCAAATCTTTGTGGAGCCTTTTAGGAAGGCAGTCGAGAATGGCTCCGAGGCGGCCTTGAGGGAGATCCTTACCGAGCATTCTCCGGGAGTTTTTACGTTTACCATGCTCCAGCCCGGCTTCTGCTCGAAAGTCTTAGAGGAGGTGTGTTTTACCTCATATCGTTTTAGTTGCGGCTTAATTTTGTTCTTCCGCAGGTTGCGCACTTTGAAAAGTGGGCACACGAGGTCAAAGTTAGTGTGCTCCGGCCCAACACCATGAACAACTATGGAGCTGTGCTGGACGATATCGGCATGGAGACGATGCTGGACCAGTTGATGATGAAGTTTATTCGTCCGTTTGCAGCACGTATGTCAGGAACATTTGTGGTTACAGTCTTCTTAAGTCGTGTCTTTGTCGCAGTTCTCTTTTTTAACGTTGGAGGTGCCACACTTGACACGCACCATGGCTTTGTGGTGGAATACAGTATTGGGGGAGATCTCGATCTTGGTGAGCAGTGAAAGTGATGAATTGTAGCATTTGACATGAGTCTTACTTCAGGTTTTCACGTGGACGACTCCGAAGTTACGCTAAACGTGTGCCTCGGCAAGGAATTCGATGGCGGCGAGTTGTTCTTCCGCGGTGTTCGATGCGATGCTCACGTCAACGGAGAAGCTCGCTCGGAGGTACGAGGAGTTCACTCGAGTTCGATATCTTTGATTGAGCATCACCCGCAGGAAATGCTGGAATACTCTCACGTCCCCGGCCGAGCAATCCTACATGCCGGACGCCATCGACACGGTGCGAAAGCCATCACTTCCGGCCAGAGAACAAACTTGATCCTTTGGTGCAGGAGGTGAGTGAAGAAAAAAAATTGTTTTTTCTGCGAGCAGTGTTCTAAAAGTTCGTTTTTTCTGCTAGCTCTGAGTTCCGCGAGCTCAAAAAATATCAGAGGGATTTCTCCGCTTGGTGTGGAGAATGCCTTCTTCGCAAAAAGGAGAGGCGGCGACGCTTAACGAATGCCAAGAGGCAGCCTGCTGCGTGAAGAATAACATCCGGCAACCATGTACTTGTAAGAAGGATCTCTTCTAGATGCAAATTTTTTTCCTTTTGTTCTTCCTTTCTTTCCACCAGGAATGTTGGTTGTACACATCGCGGCACTATGACCGTGGTAAGCTTCTTATAAGAACTGTGAGAACTTTACTCGTCTTGCTTTGAAGTTACAGCGATCGCCGGAGGCTGCGCGAATCGAGCTGGTCTCTTGTAGATCTCGACGAGCCGCGCAACTCTGGCTTGCTCTTTCGCTTTTCTCTTCACGCGAAGCGCTCGAAAGTGGTCGCGCTTCTTCACTCTCCTGCTGTTGGGATTCTCGGGAACTTCGATCTTGGGATAGACACTCACCTGGACGAACAGAGATCGAACAAGCTATGGAACCTCGAGAGCGAGCAATCGACGAACAGGAACTTACCTTTTGTTTGTCAGGCCAGAGCCTCTCGAATTTGACGACTCCATCGATCAGGGAATAGATCGTGTAGTCTCTTCCCAGTCCTACATTGTTGCCTGGATGGAACTGGCAGCCTACACAGAATTAGCGCTTCTTTTTCCTCTCTAGAGCTAAATCCATCAATCAATCCAATCGAGGGAGAGAGCGCTCTTACCTTAGTTCCTCTCTGGCGGATGATAATAGATCCCGGCTTGGCAGTCTCGCTGCCAAACACCTTGACGCCCAGCCGCTGCGCTTGCGAGTCGCGCCCATTCTTGGTGCTGCCGGTACCCTTCTTGTGCGCGGCGTGGATGAAGAGCGGCAGCCTCGCCGGCGCCGTTAGGAATCGATTCCGGCGCTGGAGCGCGCCATCGCTGCCGGAGAAGCGCGAAGATCCGAGAGAGAGGCCCGAGAAGGCGGAGGCTAAAGACGCCATAGCCAGAGCTCAATGAACGGCTCACGATGAAGGGGATAGCATTGAAAATTCTTAGCTTGACCTAATCGCGAATGGCAATTTAGGGTTTATCGATCGAGCGCCTTGCTGGATGGCAGTGCAGGCCGGAATGGCGACATCCAAGCTCATCATTCTCCTTGGAGCAGGTAATCGATCGCCCCGGCGCTGGAGCTGTGATCGGCCGATTGATTGATTCGTCGTCTTTGGCAGGGATGACTGGCTCGATTCTTATAAAGAATGGGAAGCTCTCGGATTTCTTCAAGGATCTTAGCAAGGTTTTTAGTGCTGTTCTTGGTGGATTGGCGTGGCAAATTCGTGTTTTCCTTTTTTGTCCTTGCAATCGCAGGTTTTCTCGAAGCACTTGAAAGAGGATGACAAGGATGAAGTGACGGAAACGCTGGCACAGCAAGTATGTGACAAAGAAAAATCTCTTCTTTGCTGAATTTTTCCACTGTTTGTAGGTCCAGCGCTTGACCAACGATCTAAGACAGTTAGCTGGCTCCAGGAACATCACGGTTGTGAATGCTCCTGGCACCTCTGGGCAGTCAAGTATGATCGAGAGTAGTTTCTTTCACGCGTTTTAACTTGGAATTCTATGCAGGTAATCTTTCCTCTCTCGCCATGCCTGCGCTCGTCATTGGTGTTGCTGGATATGGATACTTTTGGTGGAAGGCAAGTACTTTCTCGAGCATAAGAAGCTTTTGATTGAGCTTTGCTTGCTTGCAGGGCTGGTCATGGACGGATGTCATGTATGTCACCCGTCGAAACATGTCGAATGTGGTTGCGAGCGTGTCAAAGCAACTAGATCAAGTCTCGGCCGCTGTTACGGTAAGTTTGGATCGTCCGTGACCCTCTATAATTTTCTCACAGGCAACGAAACGGCATCTAACTTCACGGATTGATTCGGTCTCGAAAACTCTGGACGACAGTGTTGCGGTTCAGGGATTGATAAAGAACGAGGTTGGGGAAGCGCGTCCTTTGTAGCTTGCACATCTTGCTAACGAGTTTACTGGCCAGGTGTTTGAAATTCGTGGAGATGTGGCTCGTGTTGGCGGGGATATTGGAGCTGTACAACAAATTGTCGAGGGCTTGGGCAATCAGCTCGACGATGTACAAACCAAGCAGGTTTGTCTTTCACTTTCTTCGTTGTTTTCTTTGATAGTAAAGTATGATCTACAGGACTTTACAAACCAAGGGATTATCTTGCTTTGTCAATTTGCAAGGAGATGGGAAGAGACTAGGCGCCAAGAACTGCCTGGGGTACGTAGCCTTTATTAAAACTGTTGCGCGTGAGGATGACATGACATCTCTATCTAGATTTCTCCCATCTTGAGTTTGCAGAACGGTGAAGCCAAGCCCGCTAGCGGTGTCGACAGCATTCTACAGGCAAGAAAATTCGGTTTTTCTTGGACCTTTGTAACTGGAATCTAACTTTTTCTTTTCGTTCGTTGTTGCAGGGGCTACCTCCGCTGCCTAAAGCACGTCTAGAGCGATCGGCATCCGCTACTGGTTCAGGACTGAAGGTAGAGTAGAAAAATCCAAACCTCCGTCTTTGCTACTTAGCCCTTCCATCGTCAGGAACTCCAGTTCATCTCCGATGCGCTTTCTGGAAACTCTGGCGATAGCTCCAAGCTCCAGAGGACATTGACACCGAACTTGTCATTCAGGTATGCGCTGTTTGCCTTGTAAGCTATGCTATCGTCCTGACAATATTCTCTACCAGGCTGCAAAAGACTTGAATATGTGTATAAATCCACGGAGGAGAATCTGGCGGTGGTAGCAGTGGCAGCGAGCTCTTTTCATTCTTCTTTTCTGGACGCCAGGCAACTCGGGCACATGTTAGGAGCGAAGTTCTTTGACAAAACAATGGCGAAGTTCTTCGAGAAAACAATGGAGGAAGTGAGATCCAAGAGCTTGCCTTGTCAAAAGTAACAGTTTTGCTACGTGATGGCGCTACTGAGCTAAGATCCCGGGAGAGAAAAAAAAATGGAACCAAAAAAAATCTTGTTGTAAGTAGTATATGATATCTGGGAGGAGGCAAGACCAGAGTAAAAAACCGCGAAGACCAGAGTAAAAAACGCGAAGAAATGCGAAGAGTCAATCCAGAGGCATGTGGGAAGTCCAGTTCTTACGGCGGGGACATATGCCGCGAATCGGGCTCGCCCAGTGAGATCTCGCCACGTCATGCAGGGATATTCGAATTTAAAATTAAATATGCTTTCTTCCATCTTTCTTCCATGTGCATGGTGGCGTGTTTTTCTTCTGGGAGGGAAGAGCGCCAGAAAGAAAAACTAGTAAAAAATGGTGGGGAATTTTCGCGCTGTTTGATCCAATTCCATGAGCTTCCAAATCTCTTCCCATTCGAATTCGATTCCACCAGGACAGAGAGAAGCGTCACTTCCATCTCAAAAGTTTGTTGCCTTGCTCTTGTTGCTTTCGCGATGCCAGAGATCGCCAGTGCCCACAGCCTTTTCTTCTCCTCTTCCTTTCTTTTCTAGCTCTGGAGCATTTGGATTTCATCCGCCGTGTGGTCCTTCCATCCACCTTGCCTCGAGCGTTCTAGCCGCTTTCTTTTCTTTCTTTTCTTTTCTTGCTTCGCGTAATTGGCTGGTGTCTTAAACCCGGGGTGGACTTGGACGCTCGCCCAGTCCTTGTGTACCTCGCGCATTTAATTTTCGGAGAGCTTCCTTCTTCCCTCCACTGCGCACTCGCCCATCTTCCACTTTCGCCCCTCTCTCCCTTTCATACCAGGAAGGACGTTGAGAACTATGGTGGGAAGAGGAAGAATGCGGCATTGATCGTAATTGCTTTGCTCCGGAGTGAAGAGGAGGAAGGAGGAGGATTGATATTTATGGATCAAAGCTCTAGTCCTAGTATCAGTCCATCCTCGCATGATCTAGCGCAGGAGTATCGTGATCAGCCTCACGACCAAGCAGGGAAGAAGTTCACGACGACGACGATGCTGGCCGTGGGTCTGGGAATCTCGTCCTTCGCCGCCATTGCAATGCTGCTCCTTCTCATCTACCAGAAGATCTCGCACAGGAGAAAGAGGAGGAGGACGAGCAGGGGGGATTTCACTGCGGCAGAGGATTTCATGACACAGCGTATGTACTTAGAGTTTTTCTTTCCAGGAATTCGTGAGAGATTTTGATCGATCGATCGGTTCGCATTTGCCACAGGGTCGGACAAGAGCACCACAGAGTGTATGCTTATGAATCACTCCTCCAACAATTCCTATAGCTCGCCATCCCCAACTCCTCGTCCCGTTTTGCCGCCTCCATCGCTGCTAACTCTCCAAATCTCCCCTCCTCCAAACAATTGCTCCGGCGCCGGAGGAGAGGAGCGCGATCACATCGCCATCAAGCGGCCTGGACCACAGCCTTTCTCCTTCCACCAGCTCCAGATCGCCACGAACAGCTTTAGCGAGCGCAACATCATCGGCCGTGGTGGATTTGGCTGCGTCTACAGGGGAATCCTCGCGGATGGGAGGGTGGCGGCGATCAAGAAGCTCGATCTCGAGGGCAAGCAGGGAGAGGAGGAATTCCGTGTCGAGGTATATCACATTCTTCCCACATTCCTCGTGCTTGAATCATCCATTACGTACTCAATCTTCTCATCGATCGATCGTGGAATTCATGCCAAAGAAACTGATGGGTTTTGCCAGATCGAGATGCTGAGCCGAGTCCAAGCTCCAAAGCTGCTGGAGCTGCTGGGCTACTGCACGGAGGACGAGCACAGGCTACTCGTGTACGAATACATGGCCAAAGGGAATCTCCAGCAGCATCTCTATCCGGACGGTACAGAGTGCGTGAACTTAGCTTTGATTCTTTGATCTCTCTTTCTATCAGACGATGACCATGGCTTTGTTCCACTCGACTGGACGACGAGGCTCAAGATCGCCTTGGATGCTGCCAAGGGTCTCGAGTTCTTGCACGAGTTCGTCACCCCACCGATAATCCACAGGGATTTCAAGTGTAGCAACATCCTCCTCGACGACAAGCTCAACGCGAAACTCTCGGACTTTGGGCTGGCCAAAGTGGGATCCAACAAAGTGAACGGCGATGTCTCCACCAGGGTTCTTGGAACCCATGGCTACGTTGCTCCAGAGTATGAACTGGAGCATTCTTCCATTGTGGTTTCACTAGTTTTTCTCACTTGGGTGATTTTGTCTTGTCCAGGTATGTGTTGACAGGACACTTGACAACGAAATCCGATGTTTATAGCTTTGGAGTTGTGTTGCTCGAGATTCTTACTGGCCGTGTGCCAGTCGATATGAAACGACCTGCTGGGGAAGGCGTGCTTGTCTCTTGGGTAGGCTCTCGACATGAAACTCAAGCAATTTGCATCACATTTTATGTGGAACTTTGCAGGCGCTTCCCAGGTTGACGGACAGGGATAAGCTGGTGGGCATGGTGGATCAGGCTCTGGCAGGGCAGTACTCCATGAAAGAACTCATCCAGGTGATTTCTCGATAAAGAATACCTTGACAAGGTTTTGATTTTGTTGTGTGGCTACGTAAAGGTGGCGGCAATTGCTGCGATGTGCATACAACCGGAGGCGGACTATCGGCCGCTCATGATCGATGTTGTGCAGTCGCTGGCACCACTGGTGAAACAAAGGCTTCAAAATCGAACGGGGTGAAGAAGATCGGCAGGGTCAATCATAAATATCGCAAAACGATGAGTTTTCATGTAGATATTTCTAACTTCAGAGATGTTTATAGAACATTTGTTTTCACAAAAGGGGAAAAAAGAAGAACTTATCAATGTGATCAATGACTTTGAAGATTCAAGACGATGATAACGCTTGCTACTGCTATCTCGCCTCGCGGCAAATATCCTTTAGAACACACCAAGTTTTGCAAGTTTATACTGCTGGGATCGAATCCATGGGATCGATCGATTACCAGCCTACAACAAAAAGAAAAAAGCTCTATCTGATTGGATCTCTCAACACACTTACATGCTGATCGTTTGTTTATCTAATTTTCGGACAAGAACTCCCAACATTAGAAAGCCCTAAAAGCTTTTCACATTTTATTTTAGAGTCTTTACATTTCGTTTTCGCGGATGCTCTGTTTTTAGGGTTCTTCCTTCTCTCTCTAGCTCTCGCTCGCCCGCTCGATCACCACCAGCGGTAGCACAGGCGGAAACATCTAATCTTGATCCACCGCACGCCCCTCTTCACCGAATCGCCCACTCGCCTCCTGGAATCGAATCGCTTGTACGCCGCGACGCGCCGCTTCCTCTTTGCCTCCGGATCGCTGGAATTCCACCCCAGGCTCGCAAGCCGCAGGGATCCGCCTCTCTTCGTCTTGGCCGCCCTCTTGGATTGCCCGCGATCGTCCGCGTCGTCGCCGGCATAGCCATAGGAATAGGAATGCGAATTGGGCAAGTAGTGCCGCGGGTAATTGTAGCTGGATTCTGGCGCGTAAGGCTGGACATCCATAGCCCCCATCGATCGAGTGGGGCGATCGAGGATTAGAAGTAGTACCTGATCGAGAGAGAGGAATGGAAGAAATGTATAGGAGAGAGAGAGAGAGAGAGAGAGAGAGAGAGCGAGGAGGGAGACCTCACAACACGTATATTGACTTTGCGCTCAATAGAAAGATTCAAGGGAAATCTCCACGTCGCGAGAGAAAACGCTGAAATTGGGACCCCCTTTGTGGTTCGATCGTGCCAAGATCAAGGCCTAGAGATGGGATTTCTCTCTAGAGTATGCCTTTCCCCTGGGCCCAAGCAAATCAATCGCCCAGATCCTCGCCACGATGCGATTCGAACCCACGACCTCGGCAATAGATTCTTAGACTATTCCCCCACGTGGTACAGTATCTTTGCGCTAAGTAGGACACTCTTATTAGATCGTTAACCTGTACAAAAATGTGAGCAAAAGATACTGGGAATGCGAAGATCTATGGCGCTTACCTCGGAAGAACTCGATTTGGAGGGAGAGGGAGAGTTGTCCTAGACGGTGATGAATGCGTCCTGCTGCTATCTTGCAACTCCTGGAAGAGAGAAAACCGCTTATGTATATCAAGCAAAGAGCTAAAACTTCTACTCACGTAGTCGGCCTTTGATGTTTTCACGGCTGCCTCGAGCGTTTCGTTGATCTCCTTGATGGTTGGACGATCGTAGCTGCTCTGGGCGGTACAAAACACGGCGATCTCCACGATTTTTAGAGCTGCAGCGGCTGAGAATTTCCTATCCATCAGCGGGTCAGCGAATTTGTGGATGTCTGATCCTCTCTCGGCAACTCTTTGGGCCTGAAAAAGAAGAAAAGGTAACGAACTTTGCGTGAAGTGGTTTCCACTTACAGCTCTGACGAGTGAGTAACGGTGTTGTAGAGCAAAGTCAATCGACCTTCTTCCGGAAACAAGCTGGAGGAGAACGATTCCGAAGCTATAGATATCGCTCGCCAGCGTGAGCTGCCCCCTTGACATGTACTCCGGATCCAGATAGCCAGATGTTCCCTTGACTTCTGTGAAAACGTGCGATTCCTCCATCGTTATGAACTTTGACAAACCAAAATCAGAGAGTTTGGCTTCCATATTGTCATTGAGAAGTATGTTGGTTGGCTGCATAGAAAAAGAAGAAGCAAAGATGAGCTCTTTTCGCAGAAGCTACAAAGAAGAAGGTTCCAAACCTTGACATCCCGATGAATAATTGCTCCTCCCACGTTGGTGTGAAGAAAAAACAGTCCTCGAGCACTTCCGACAGCAATATTGAGACGTTCTTCCCATGTCAGAGGAGGTCTGTCTCCTACGCAAAATAATCAGCAAACGATCCATGAAAAAAGCTACCTTACCAAATAGCCATTGCCACAGGTTCCCGTTGGCACAAAACTCATACACGAGGTAATAACCCTCAAAGGACTGGCAGTAGCCCAGGAGGCTCACCAAGTTCGGATGTCTCACTTTGGACAAGCTCTCTACTTCCTGGAAGAAAGTGTCCGCCTTTTTCTCTTTGTCGATGTGCTTGATGGCCACAAGCTGTCCGCTGGGAAGAACACCTTTGTGAACCAGTCCAGCACTTCCTGAGCCAAGATAGTTTTCACTGCTAAAGTTTCGGGTGGCCTTCCAGATTTCTTTCCTGGAAAATCTGTAAAGTTCAGTGTGCAGCAACTTGCCTTGGTCCTTTGGCTCTGTTTGTTACATAAACGACGCACAATCAGCATGAGGTTGGCTGATTTTATTTTTTTGACGATACCTTCGAAGCTGCTGGACCCGATTTTGTCCGATTCCTTCTTTGATGCATACTTCCGACAAAAAAACGAAAGCAATACGAGAGCTCCTCCAACTGCTATAAAGCTGCAGACAAATATCAACGACGTTTCCAATACTACCTCTGCACACGGCACAGAAAAGGCTATGAGGATCATAAACTTAAACTCGGAATTATGTACCTCGTTTATGGCTGGGAGAAGAAAGAATTCCTGATAAAGAGGAAACGCAAGGATCAGAAATAGAGTCCGCTTCTGTAAGCTCCTTACCAAACACACTCAGTTGAGTCAAGAAGCTGGCCCAAGACTCGTTCCAGATATCTCTGCTGATCACGCCAACAAGGAGAGAGGTTGCGCAGTTATCCACCGAATCGTTGAGGTTGCGTGCCAGTTCCAAGGCGCTAGTCGAGAAGTTATGAAGGCATCCGGCATCGTTTCGGGGCCGCGTGCAAGAGCTTAGGACATCATTGAAAGTCACCTGTGCCGTTGTCAAGTTACCCAGCAGCTCGCCCATGGTACCGAAGTTGCAGGGTAACTGGTAAGCAGTATAGCGGGGTGGCGCGAAGTTGCAGTAGTCGTAGCTAATTCCCAAGTCCAGGCTGTGTGTGGCTTCCCAACAAGCTTGACTCAGTGTTTCATTCAAAAACAATGAGGAACCTCCTGTCTGGTTGGTGTAGACGGCAATCACTCGAGACAAGTAGACCAAAGCGTTTTTGCAACATTCGGATGGCTCCAAGCCACTGTCCGGTTCCGACGAGCAGCTGTCGAGCTTAGTGTAGCGAACGGAGCTGAAGTTTAGAGGACAAACTGGCACAAGAAGAAATATATCAGAACTTTGTGTACAGAGAGAGATTTAGTACCTTGTGCTTGAGCTCTCGCCATCCCCAAAACCAGCAAGCAGATCCAGATGAAATCCATCCCCAGCTTGAACAATTACGAGATGCTGCAGCATCGGCTGCAAACGGCTGAGCAGAAAGCACAAGAGATTTAATTGAAAAGATCTTTGTCGTGACTGTCATTGAGATTTCCGTCACAGCCGTCTGCATCTTTGCATAAACCGCGTCAAATAAGTCGTGGTGATGTGGAGAAGAGAACACTACAGCTGCTTCACCATCCATGAAAAGATTGCAATAGTTAGTTGTTCGGCAATATATGACGCTTACGCTAATGTGCAGGTGATTACAACTTGAAAGCCAGATACAGAAAGCGAACACTTGGCAACCCTCCATTTCAGAATCTGTACGAAAAGTGAACATTTTAGACAGCAAAGCAGATGAGAAACAAACACTTCAAGAAACAAACCGGCCATAAAACTGTCCTTCGCTTTTCCCCAGACAGTTTGTACGCTTGGAATCATGCTCGTCGTTTTGTCGTATCACGACTTTGCTGCTCAATGATATGTCAGTCAAGGTATGGATTTTTAAATATCACCTGAACTGTCGTCAATGCGGCTGTGTCTACTACAGATCCAGATTTTGCGCCTGAATTAACTGTCACCAACACACTAAGAAAAACGTGGAGAGAATCATCATATAAGAAATATTTTTGACGAGCTTATTTCGGGACCAATGCCTAAGCCACTGGTCTCACGTTTCAAAATTCAGTCCTGCAAAGATGTATCCTGCCTGCTCCTATCCTTCCCTCAAATCGAATTCTCTGTAGCGCGGGCTCCTCGGACACACGAACGCTGTCAAAGTCAGCTAGACTTGAAGACGGACCTAGTGAGTCCCAGTTAAAATCTGATATAGCAGTTGCAGTTGCCTGGAAGTCCAAAAGTTGCGTCAGTACACCACCAAGTACCCGAAATGAACGTACATCTGCCGAATCTGTTTCCCAATCCAACCAAGGGGTCACTACGCCATCTGTATTTACTGCCACTGCCCCTGTTTTCCACCGAGGAAACTCCTCACTTCGGCTAGGCACCTGCTTTCTTGACGGCGATTTCCTGTGGCTTGTGGCATTCCTGGAACTTTGAGCAACAGGCCTCTTTCCCGACTTCGACGGTCTTCCATCCAGTGATTCTTCTGTTTCGGACGTCGAAATAGAAGCAAACTCTTCAAAGTACTTTTGTGCTTCTTCATCAAGGGCCTTCGATATAGTTGCTCTTTCTTCAACACCCTGTACAAAATACCATGTTAGTGGGTCGTTTTAAAAGTATACAAGCTTTTACCCTTCTAGTTTTACGTTTTGGCTGCTCGGCGGGCTTATCATGTGAAGGTCTGCCTTTGACTAGTTTGGCAAGTTCATGACGCGTTTCTTCTTCTTTAGCAAGTTGTGACAGTAGCTCCTGAGTTCTGATCTCCGACTATAAGTAGAAAAAAATTAATTAAAAATAAAAACACAAAAAACAAAACAAACAAATGTACCTGCTCCAATTTTTCTGCATACTTTTGTCGAACGTCTGACTCCGCTACATCCCCTTTCGATGCAACCAGCGTTAGCATATCCTTCTCTAAAGACTGTGCGTGTGTTAGCATAATATTTTTGCTCATAAAAATTACATATACCTGTTCGATTTCCGCCTTAAGATCGGCTACAGCTTTGCGGACTTCTTCACGCATTACCCCATAGAGGTCGGCTTCATCGACATCTCCAGCCGGGGGATCCATTGGCTGCGAAACAAAGTCAGAACAAATAGTAAACACGGACAAAGAAAAGAAATACACACAGACCTTCAATTGTGCATGCACAGCTTGATTGTTCTTTCCTCGGTTTGGATGTCAGTTCCAGGGTGTTCCCCAGCAGTGCCGCCTCGATGCCCCGGGCCTTGCGACTCACTTCTCCTGTACCTACCGATAGGCTCCTTTGAGGAACTGCTCCTCCTTGGCTCTTGGGATGTACTCCTGGATGTAAAAACAATGCCTGCTCTTTGAGAACTTCTGCCTCGTCGTTCTGACTCGTCTTCCTCATCCCTGTTCCCCGCAAGTTCACGTAGCTCGTTTCTTCCGTTTCTTGCACCGGGTTCTTTCGAGCTGCTTCTGTCACGTTCCTCGTTTCTTCCGCTCCTCGCACCGGGTTCTTTCGAGCTGCTTCTGCCTTGCCGAGGCTCCTGTGACTCGCGTCTAATGCTTGGTTCCTTGGATTGGCTTCTTCCTTGCCGGCTCAAACTTGTCTCCCGACCTCGTGTGTAGACTCCGGAGTCACTACTATTTAGCAGTAATTCGCTGGAACTTTGCCTGCCACCCAATGGTTCCACGCTCTGCCGCCGAAGACCAGGCTCCTGCGACTCACTCCTCCTGGGCCTTGAAAAGTCGCTACTTTGCCGCCTGAGACCAGGCTCTTGCGATTCGCTTCTACGCCTCACTTCCGGACCTCTCGAGTCACTCCTCCGGCTGGGCTCTATACTTCTCTGCCTCCCTCGTGCGCTTGCAGTACTTTGCTGGAACCGTGGAATGGTGGCGGCATTGCGACTTATCTCAGTCTGTCGGAACCTATCGATGATACTCGAAGCTTCACTCTAAGAAGGAAAAAAAAAACATAAAGTACGCATCAATCATCAAACCATACTCCAGTGAGATTAAAATACAGAGACACTTCACCTCTGAGTCACTGGCAAGATGGCGATTGTAAGGCCCGGGCTCGTAGCTCTCCTGGTCCGAATCCCTCTGAGACGACGCATCCTGATAGTTGCTAGTGCTGTCCAGCACGGACCCCGATTCCGAGTGGCTGCTCCCTCTTCTATGACCCTGGCCCTGGTTTTCTTGAAATTCCCTCCTCGTCGTGGATCTAAACGCCGACACCGCCATAATCCCTCGCTTCCGGATCTACACCCCGCCTAGATCGTGCCGCATTGCCGATATTCGAGCTGGAATCCCTTCCCTGCGCATGCACGGCCGCGAGTTCTAGCTCTACAGTACCTCTAAAGACCTGGCGCCGATCCCTCCAAGGCGGCGATGGCGCGATGTCGCGCGAGATTGGGGCGCCCTTGGCACAATGCGCGCCTCGCTCTCTCCCCGCCCTGTCCCGCCCAGGGATGACGCCGACGAGCGCACAGACAAAACAGCCTTGATAGTGGAGAATGGCCCGCCCCGGTTAACCGGGCTCCGTTAACTTCCGCTAACTTAACGGAGCTTTTCAAATTAAAGTGCCCTAGGGTTTAGGGTTTTAGGGAGATTCCGAGAATATTCGCTCCTCTTTGAAATCTCGTTTTTGGCCTCTACGACTTTGAAAGTTCTCCTACAAAGCACGCGGAAGTTAGAAGCTAGGCTAGGTGTGTCTCAAGACACTTACATGACACACACTTATACGCTAGAGAAGTTTTGGCGAGCAAAACTTCCTCCCAGCTTCGCTGATCAACGAAGACGACCATTCGACCAACCCCCTCACACACACTTGGAAGTTCTCCTCCTTTAAAATCCCCCGCACGATCGATATAATCAAGACGACATGGATCCCCCGCGACTGGGAAGCGCGCACCGCATTCTCTCCGCCTTGGACACGGACGAGCAAGTTCTCCGTTTCGTGGAGGCCATCACCAGCGACGTCGCGAGCATCCAGTCGGAGCTCCTCCAGCAAATCCTGGCGGACAATGCCGACGTTGCCTACTTCCACAGGCACGGCCTCTTTGGAGTTCCCAGCGCCGAGGACTTCCACTCGCGGCTGCCGCTCATCTCGTACCAGGACATCGAGCTCGACGTCGCGAGGATAGCCAGCGGCGACGAGGATGGCCATGCCAAGATCCTGTGCGCTCGTCCAGTGCGAGAAGTTCTCAAGAGGTAGTTCCCAGCTCGCGACTCTCTTAACTTGATGAAAGCTCGTTTGATCACAGCTCCGGTACCTCTGGAGGACGCCAAAAGCTGTTTCCAAAGCTCAGTGACTACGACCCCGAGTTCCTCGTCCTCAACAGAGTTGCCCGTGCTGCCTTGAACAAGTAAGTTCGTTCCGTCCAGAGAGAGGCCCGATTTTCATCCTGTCCTGACCGACGGCATTCCAGGCAAGGTCCCTTCAACACTGGCAAGTCCCTCCACTTCATCTACGTGAGGAATCCCGAAGTGACCCCCGGCGGTGTGAAGCTCTCCTCCGGCCTCAGTGGCTACTTCACCAGCCCGGCTTTTCGTAACCGAAAGATTGATCCGGCGACGAGCTACACCTCCCCCGACCAAGTTCTCCAGTGCGTTGACTACACCCAGGCTAATTACTGCCATCTTCTCTGCGGCCTCGTTCAAAGGCACCAAGTTGTATCGATCGGCTCGGTCTTCGCATCAACGTTCGTAAGGAGCTTGAAATCTCTGAAGTGCCAGTGGAAAGATATCTGCCAGGACATCGCCGAGGGAGCGGTGAATAGCAGGATTGTCACAAGCGTTCCGGTCAGAAACGCTGTCAATGCCATCCTCCGGCCGGATATCGAGCTTGCTGATGCCATACGAAAGGAATGCTGTGGCGGGAACTGGAGAGGGATAGTGAGACGCCTGTGGCCCGAGGCTAGACTTGTCCAGACGATAATAACCGGCACCATGCAGCAATACGTTTCCATAATCGACATGCTGACCGACGGTCTTCCGATTGCTTCGTCCCTGTATGCGTCTTCGGAGTGCAGCAGCCTGGGTGTCAACCTGGATCCAGTATGTCCAGCATCTGAAGTTCTGTACACGTTGTTCCCGTGCTTTGCATACTTTGAGTTCCTTCCCTTGGAAAACCGACTATCGGCCCCTGACGAAGACCAAGGGCGGGAAGAACGGAGCTTCGTTTCCTGCGACAACCTGGTAAAACTAGCAGATGTCAAAGTCGGAGACGAGTACGAGCTGGTACTTACCACCAAGGCCGGTTTATATCGGTACAGGGTCGGCGATATTCTCAAGGTCGTCAAGTTCCACAATGATGCTCCTCAATTCGCTTTTGTCCGGAGGGCCGGTGTGCTTCTGAGCGTTGACATGGACAAGACTGACGAGCTTGAGCTACATAAGGCAGTGACGCAAGCCTGGAATCGTCATCAGGAGCACAGCGAAATTCGGCTGGTGGACTACACCAGTCGAGTCGACTTGTCGTCCCAGCCCGGTCACTATGTCATCTACTGGGAGGCCTTCCCAGATCCTCTGATTCCCGAGCTTGACGTGTGCTGCTTCGAGCTTGAAGAATCGCTTAGCGTGGTGTATCGCCGAAACCGAAGAGAAGGAAGCGTAGGCCCATTAGAGATCAAGCTTGTCCGGCAGGGAACTTTTGACAGAATAATGGACCATGTGGTACAGAATGGCGGAGCGAGCTACGGACAGTATAAGACGCCAAGATGTGCCAAAGACCCCAAGGTTGTGAGCATTCTGGAAAGCAGTGTCATTGCAAAGGGACAAGCGAGGTGCATGCAAACCAGTACCTAGCGTGTGCGCATCTAGGCGCGAGAAGACGACGCCTTCCCGTTTAAATTGACCAGCAGGCTGGTATAAACATATATTAGAACAAGTATTTCAGTAAACGAGTATTTCAACAAACGAGTACTGTTACCTGAGACATTACTGTCCTCTCGAGGCAGAAGGTTGACATAAACATGTTTGACAAGTTCAGCAAGCCACGAGGCCTCGCTCACGGTCTGAGAACTCGACCAAACGGTCAGAAGTATACTTACTTTTCAGATAGAACAGTCTAGTGCTAAGATCTACGAAAACATATTTTCATAATCCAGTGAAGCTGTATACAACAAACGCACCGTCAGGAAGTCAACCTCTCTGTTCAAAAGTCTGCTCATACCTCTAGTAGCAAATCACCGTAGATACGAATGGGCACGACGAAATATCGCAATATCGAATTATATATCCAGTTGACCACCAAAATGTCGAATCAGTATATAGCTACAAGCTCCATGAGACTGCAAGAAAAAACTTAAAAGTCGAATCAGTTGATACAGCCCACAGATACTTACCTTACACTCCTTGCGCCGAAGATTCTGATTGTTCATCTCTACCTTCACGGTCAGCATCGTCTGGCACATCTAGTTTCGACAGGATGAAGTTGCAAAGCGAATCGAAGGCGGACATTACGACTCCATCTCCCTTCGTTGTTCCCGACGATAGATGCTCCATCGGGTTCTTCTTTATGGTGCCGAAGAGGTCCGGAGAAGAAACACCACACAGTCTTTTGTCGAGTGGTTCTTGGCTTGAAACCCAGTTGACGGCATTGCCTTCAAGAAACTTGAGTTGATCGTACGAAAGCACCTAAGAGTGAACACTTTACTATCTCGTAAACTTTCAAGGAAGGAAACTTACTCGTAATGAACCATCTGGAATTTGTGCATCACAGAATCCAATGCATCTCAGTCGCTGGAGTGCTCCCCATCCTGCCAGAAACACGGAGATGTAAAACAAGACAATTGATCGTCATTTTAAACCTCGGTGCTTTAGAAGCTCGATAGCGAGTGTTCCCCCATAGGCGTGCGCAACCAACGCCAGCATTTTGTCAGGGAAAGTCGCAGACACAAGGTCCCAGGCACACAAAACGTGGTCAAGAAGAGCTTCAAAGCTTGCTTGTTGCTGAAAGTTGCTTTTCTCTGTCAATTCGACGTGTTCGCTGGAAATACGGTAAGCTATACCTTTTTTCCATTAAGCATCACCTCGTTTGGGTTCAGGACAAGCACCGCAATATCAAGCTCATGAGCCCACTCTGAATATGAAAGGTTCAGTTAAGAAGATCATACAGGCATTGATACATTACCCAGAAATGGCAAAACGCTGCCTGTACGAAGAGAGTCCTGGACAAATTCAAAACCAAAACTTTAGAATACTAGAGAATGCATATCACCGTGAGACAGAGGCTCCTCGACCACTGGCCAGCACTGTTTGTAAAACCGAAAGTCAGAAAACTTTGGGCTAAGTGAAAAACGTACTTCAATTCTCCACGCCCACACAAAAGGATAACCAGCGCCCGTGCTGTCTTAGCATTAGGTGACAGGAACACCGTGCTTTCCATTTTCTGGACCACCTGCGTAATGAGAAGTTAGGCTCGGTTACTGTTGTGAATTGTGTACTTACCCCACCATAAGCCAAAGCTAAAGTCCTTTTCAGAGTGAATGTTTCCCGCGTCATACCATAAGTCTGACATCACGGATAGTTTTTGAGCGCTAGAAAGTTCCTAGGAAATCAGCTCCAACCTCGACCATGAGCATTTGAATGTAATCCGCGACCGCATCGACGAGTTTCTTGTAGCCAGCTTCCTGTTACAATGCATGTTTATAACGAACAACCATGTAACACGCATTACCTTGTTAAACTTTTCCAGGGTAAGCCTTTCTGCGAAAGAGTGAAAAAACAATTAGATCCGATCTTATATATCTTTACCTGAGAGGCTATCCCTGAGCCGAAGATCCGAGTCGAAGAAGAAGCCCAAGCGATGAAGCTCCCGAGCGGCAAAAGAAGAGGTCTTCTTCTTTGAAACCCGACGTAGAGATCTTTTCGCAAAGCTGAGCAGATTCCATACCTTGGAACTATCGGGCTCTGGTAATATCAGTTAGCTTCGAGTGAGTGATCAACCGGATTGAGAATGAAAACGATGCGCTTACCAGTGGTTTGCTTGCAATCCTTGTGCTCGGCTCCAGCAACTTGGACAAACGTATAGCAAGAAGAACTAGGATCAAACACGAGCAAGACGATAGCGAGATACCGGTTTCCTCATTGGATGTCGACGAAGATGTCGACGAAGATAGAGAAGGATCGTCATTCGTAGGAGCTCCGCAAGCGAAGAAGAGCCGAAATATCCCGCAACACGTTCGATAACGGCTCCATCGTGACGATATTTCGATGCCGCTGTCTCGATCGGTCGATTCTTGAGAGTTGGCGCTTGATCCTGCAAGGCGATTCTAGAAAATCGCTGGGAAAAAGAGGCATTACCAGTTGACTTGTCGACGTCGCTGCCTCGATCGGTGGATTCTTGACCGTCGGCGCTTGATCCTGCAAGGCGATTCCAGAAATTCGCTGCGAAGAAGCGGCATTACCAGTTGAGATCTTCTTCCTGTCGATGTCGCTGCCTCGATCGGTCGACTCTTGAGCGTCGGCGCTTGATCCTGCAAGGCGATTCCAGAAATTCGCTGGGAAGAAGCGGCATTACCAGCTGACAGCCTCGCTCCCATCTTCTTCCTTTCTCCCCCGCAAATGCACAAAGAAAATAGGGTTTATGGTCATTTTAAACTCGCAAGAGCGCCTCAAGAGAGAATCTCTTCGTCGGGATCGTTCCAGATGCTGCAAAGAAGAACAAAAGGCCCAGAGATACGCATGTTGAGCGCCGCCACATTCTCAGCGCAGCGAGCCGCGCGATCGAGATCCCGGTGGAGCTTGCAAGCCCCAGCCAAGCTCGTCCACGCCACCAGATCCGGCTCGAATGGCATCCCATCGATGAGCGCCTCGGCCTCCTCCATCATCCCCAGCCGCCCAAACAGATCGATCAGGCAGTGGAAGTGATCCGGAATCGCCTCGCAGCCAAATTCCTCCACGAGCTTGAAGATCTCCACGCCCTCCATCGCCACGCCGGCGTGGGCGCAAGCGTGCAAGACACTCGTGAATGTGATCTCGCCCGCGTCGACGCCATCGCCGCTCATCTCCCGGAGAAGATCCAGCACCAGATCCAGCTGATTGAATCGCGCCGCCGCGGAGATTATCGCGTTCCAGGACACCGGATCGTCCCTAGCGCGCCGAGCAAACACTGCCTTTGCGCGACCCCAGCTCCCACACCGCGCATACATGCTGATCAATCCATTCTCCACCGTGGTCTCGGATTCCAGCTCCTGGGCGACGATCCAGTCGTGGAGCCGCCGCCCCACGGCAAGATCCCCGAGACTGGCACACGCCGCAAGGGCTTTGGAGAAGACGAGCACATCCGGCACCACATCGATCGAATCCAAGAGCTCCAACACCCCGGCATCCAATCCGGCCTCGGCATACGCCGCTAGAATCGCGTTCCAGGACACCACATTCTTTCCCTGGATCCGATCGAACGCCCTCTTGGCCTCGTCGATCCTTTTGCATCGCCCATACATCGCGACCAGCGCCGTGCCCACGACGGCATCGCGATCGCAAGCCCTAGCCGCGGCCACGCGATGGATCTCCTGCCCGGTCTCTAGATCCCGGCAAGCGCCCAAGATCGTGGAGAGAGTGTAGCAATCCGGCTCCACGCCCCGCGCGATCGCGCCCCGGTAGAGCTCCACTGCTCGATCGGGCAATCCCCGGGCGACCAGCACGGCCATGATCGCCGTCCAGCACACCACATCCTTGCTCTCCACTTGATCAAACGCGGCCATCGCCTCGCCCACGCTCCCCCATCGCCCATACGATCGAACCAGCGCGGTGCCCACGACCGCGTGGGATTCCAATCCACTCACGATCGCGCGCGCGTGGATCTGGCGCGCATCCCCGAGCTTGCAAACGCTGAGGACGATCGAGAGCGTGCACGCATCCGCGCCGCCGGCGACGCCCTCGATCGCCATCCTCCGGTAGAGCCCCATCGTCTCCTCCAGATGCCCATTCTGGGCATAGCAAGCGAGCATCGCGTTCCAGGTCGCCAGCGTCCGCGACTCCATCTTCTCGAAGATCCGCCGCGCCTCCTCGATGCATCCACACTTGGCATACATGTCGATGAGCGTCGTGCCCACGGCAACCTGGCGATCGCAGCCCAGCGCGATCGCCCGCGAGTGGATCGCCTTGCCAGTGCCGAGATCACGCAGGCTAGAGCACGCCACCAGCGCCTGGACCAATGTCCCGGCGCTTGGCTCTAGATCTAGATCCCTGCCGCGATCACACAGCTCCTTGTAGACCCTCAGCGCCTCCTTGTTCTTGCGATTGTGGACGAATCCCGTGAGGAGGCTGTTCCAGAGCGAGATCTCTCTTGCCAATCTCCCGTCCTTGACGCACAGATCGTCGAAGACGGCCTTGGCATCGCCGGGGCTGCCACACTTGCCATACATTCTGATGAGCAGCACTGCCATGGAGAGATTCTGGGAGAGATTTTGGGGGCACGCCGCGATCAGCTGTGCGTGGATGCGCTTGCCGTGCTCCAGCGCCGCTGGGGAGTCGCATTTCCGGAGGAGAGACGCGAAGATGTGGATGACATTCACCTGGGCGCGAGGCTGCTGGCGATCGCCGCCGTGGTCGCCGCCGTGATCCGGCCATGGCGGCAAAGATCTGGGCGCAGGATTGCGCTGCGCAAGAATGTCCACGGCCGCTGCCGCTAGGGCTCGCTTCTTCCTCAGCGGCTGCAAATGCCGCCATAGCATCCTCCATCAAGGAACCCTAAATCCCATCGTTGAGATTTTAACGGTGGATGTGATAGTGAGCATATTCTAGCAAATTTAAAACAATCGCCTGTAGGGCAGAAGAGAGGAGTATTAAAGGTACGTTTTACCGCATATTTCGCGACACATTGCAAAATTCTTTCTACGACGTGTATGAAGCATTGGGCGTTGCCACGTGTTGTATTTCTTTTGTATATAAAACCCAAGCCCTGTAGTAGAAGAAGCACATCGTTCCATAGCTCATTCACAAGTTCTAGCCAAGTTCTTCCAAGCTTTTCTAGCGGTTTTTCGAGCGATCTTTCACTACTTTGCGATTTTTCTGCAAAATGGCACTCGCAGCAGGCAGTAGCATTGCAACAATCCCTTCCTGGCTCTCCAAATCCGCCGCGCCCAAGTCTCGATCCAATCGCTCCTTGATCCTGCTGCCAGTGAGAGCTTCCTCGGACAATGGACGAGGCGATGGAATCAGCAGCGTTTTGGACAAGACCAAGAAGGAGATCAGCCGCGAGGATGTTCTCAAGAACCAGGCCGAGAACGAGTCGGAGAAGCGGTCTGTGTTTGGAGCGGTGCCATCGTCCGGAGCATTGTGGCCGAGGCCGGAGATTGAGAGGCGGCCGGAGACGGGCGATCGATCGTTCGCGAGCTTGATGGCGTTTGATGGCGCTGGCCCAGAGACGATCAATGGCAGACTGGTAAGTTCTTCCTTCAATTTGGAGATCTATGCAACTTTGTTCTAAGTTTCTGGATTGATTGATCTCTAATTGTACAGGCAATGGTTGGAATCTTGTGGGCATTTGCGGTGGAGAGGATGACGGGACAAACGGTGGCCGAGCAGCTCTACGCGCCGGGCAACTTTGGCTTGTTTAATTTCTTGGCGGTGGCACAGCTCTTTGCGTATGCGTCGCTGGTTCCCCTGTTTAAGGGAGAGAGCCCTGATAGCCGATCTTTGGGTCCGTTTAGAGCCATGGCCGAGCGCTGGAATGGGCGGACGGCCATGCTTGGATTCCTGGCGTTGGTGGTCACGGAATTTTTCACCAAGACCCCAGTGTTTCACATGATGTAAAGCTGTTTTGTTTAGTTAAAGAATAGTTAACATATTTCTTAAGAATGATTGTTTTGTTTAATTTTAAAAAATATATTAATTTTTTATTTTATTAATTATTTTCATGATTTTACACTTGTTATGAACTATATTTTCAGTTCTATTACATTTCCATTTTCTCCAGCTTTACATTTAGTTCTTATTATTATAAAAGTGAATAAAACAAGTTTCTTTAAAAATACATTAGAAGCTTCTTTAAAGGTTATTCATAACATATTTAAATAGTTTTTAAGCGTGTTTAAAAGTATCATTCATTCATTTTGAATTGAACTGTTCAGATTTACTTTTTATTTTAATATCTTATGTATTAAATTATACTAAGCAGATATGGCAAGAAAAATATGATTGCATATGGGTATATCTTTCTTTTAATTTTAATTTTTTATTGCATATCATATTGATGTGGGGTATCTTATATATGAATCTAACTTAAATTGCCTATAATATGCAAAACTAACTAATAATATGACAACTATTACAATTTAACATTTGTCTCATTCATGTCTCATTGAATGCAAATTTATGATGTTTTGATTATGACCATTTCCCTCCTTTTGTGTGGGCTCTAATCTCATAGAGCCTCTATTCACCTTCCAATCATTTGGCAATGGCATTTTCATAGATAACATGCCACCAAGATAGATATAGTGGAAAGAGATGAGCTATCATGATTGCAATATTAACTATAGGTGTCACACCCTGATTAATGGAAAGATCTGCTAAGCTATTATGGGTGTGATATCTTAATCTAGGCTATAAAGTGACAAAACTGCAATGGTTTTGAGTGATTAATTGAACCATGAGAAAACATTAGCTCTATTAATTTTTAGGGTGTTCTGGTGGTTTTGAGTGATCAATTGGACTTCATTACAACTGTGGTAAGGCATTAGCTCCATTGATTTCTAAAATCTTCTCTAGAATATTTCATCACAAATTCAAAAGACTTGAATCTCCCTCTAAAACTAATGAAATGAACAATATCCCTTACCTAATAAAGGGTTTTGGGCTAGTTCATATTAAGCCTTTTTGTAATATTATGGAGGAACCCCTCCACACATGCAGAAGGTGATGGTGAAGAGGGCTTTATATAATATAGTGTAGAAGGAAGCTCCAAACAATTAACATTTTTAACATTTTTGTGAAGTGAACACTTCAAGCTCATAGACATTAGAAAGTGGATGCTATTATAAGCTTTTGAATTTGGACCCACCCCAACCTAAATACATTTAACCTCAAATATCCCAAAACTTTTAACTGATTGGAAAAGAGGGTGAATTCTTGTTTATGGGCCCTTTCCTTTTATATTTAAATTTTAATGAATTGTCATCCAAGTCATTCTCTTTTTTATTCATGGGCCTTTTTCTTTTATATTTGAACCTCAAAAAATCATTTTTTGAGTTATTTTCTTTAGTTGTTTATAACTACCTATACCAAGATCTCCACTCTAAGCACTCCATATAAAGAGGTAAAAAACAAAGCCCTACATGAGGAGATGGATGTTCAAGGAGGATATTCTAAGTAAGTGAGGTAATAGCTCCATGCAACACATGGTAGCAATATGAAGTTTCTTCATGACTTAGTGTGAATGTAAGCTTGAGCAACCTCTAACAACCTACAAGGTGAGGATATATGCATATAGTAGTGGTGAAATGTAATTTCTCATCTCAACCACATCTATGAGTTTTAGTTTTTTGTCCATGTCCACATAATAAGCTTCTCATAAGCTAATACTCCAAATTTAATTTAGATTCCAAATATAAAATCTATGTAATGTAGATATGTTGCAAATAGGCTAAAAGTTTGTCTAAATTTGACTATGACTAAACATTGCAATTGGCAAATATGGAGTCATGCCTTCCCAACAATATACCTGAATATTCATGGTATAGATAAATAAATGAATGAGTGAGGAAGTTCTTTTGTGGTTGAGTACCAACTTCAAGGAAGGTTACCAAATGAAAATCTTGCCACTTCATTTGGAATGGACTAATGCATATTGCACCATTATCTCAAGAGCATTGACTTTGAATGGGTGTATCCCCTCAAGAGTGTGAAATATTTCATGTGCTTTATAAGTAGCCTCCTCAATGTGAGAACTTGATGATATAAAGGACTATGTATGTCAATGAAAAATTAAAAGATGTAGGAAATAGAGTCAATTAGAAAATGGTAAGAGTTGTTGTGGTTTATATTTGGCTAGAATGAGTTTCATAAAGAGTTAATTCTCTACATGTGTTTCAATATGTCCACTTCCTATTAAAGTGGACATAGGCTAGTTATACATATGCTAGTATGACTTTACATATTTCATGGTTATAGTATGAAGTATCATTGGGTAATATAACTATACGTCATACTATGTAAAGTCATGCTAGGGATTTTACATACTAGCATAACTATACATAGTATGAAAATGGTCATACTATCCAATATGACCTCACTTTAAGATTTTTTCATGAGATACATATGTAAAGTCCCTCTTTATTGTTGATGCACATAGTAGTTTTATTTTTCAAAGAGTTACTACGCCTTTGCAATCATATATATAACCAAAGTAATGTAGAAAGCTTTCATATGTACTTAGAGCATACCATCACATTAATAGGATTGCTCATGCAACAAAAGGGAGTATGTTAGATGATGTTTAAGGCCTTGGATCGGCGCCATAATATATATAAAAGACTATCTTCATAATTGTATGTTATTATATATTTATGCACAAAACCATTGTTACAAAAACCTTATAACAATGTTACCTAAATTCCTCTGAAAAAATGGTCATACTATCTAATACTATGTCATGTCTAAACCACTCATTATTCGCCAAAGAAAGGTGACTACTCTATTATATATTTTAACTTTTGCATAAACTGCTTTATGTTATGGTAGTGGTCCTCAATCTATGCTAGAGGAGTATCACCACCTTGATTTTTTACTAATTCATTTGTAATTAGTGTTTAATCTTACTTTGTTAAGTATCTTTAATATAAACCATAATTCGTCTTTTTTAGCGTTTCCACTAGTTTCTTTAGGATTGTAAAAGATTTAAGGGTGGCTAGGGTTAACAGTGTGGAAGTGGATCTCCCCAGCATGGAGCTGGATGAGAGCGTAGAGGAGAAAATTGAAGGAGTCGAGAAGCAAATCGAAAAGGAAAAAGATACCAGGAAGAGGAAGCAGCTGCGGGAGGAAAAGAAGCAGCTGCGGGAGGCAAAGAAGCAGCTGTGGGATGAAAGGCTGCGGGAGCTTGAGAGTAAGTGGTTGACTTGCCTTCCTCTATGTTTGGATTCTCTGGCTGCGCCTGTTTCCATGTGTGTGGCTATGTATTTGCCTAACTGACAAGTTTACATTTCTGTTTCGGCAATAACACTTCAAGCTGCGCCAGGTAAGCACTTCCACTTGTATGGTTTCTCTTCCGTTGTTTTATAATGAGTTCGTTTTGCATCGGTTTGTGTTGTAGTGTCGAAGTTGCTGGATGTATACGGAGAAAAACTGCAGCGCGCAAGGTGTTTTCACGGGATGCCTGAGACGAGGGTGTCAACCTGCAAGTTGCCTCTTCTGGACAACGGTGGGCCGCCGTGTTTACATACGGACTTGGGAGAATATTTTACGTTGGTCGGAAGGGAGGAGACGATTCAGCATCTCATGGCAGCCGCTGCAAGGGTGTTTGGAACTTTCATGAACACGACGGCCAATGCCTCGGATATTGAACAAAGAGAGTTCTTGTTGATGCTCATCGGATTTCCCGGCGCAGGTAAAACAACTGTCGGGACATGCCTCTCAGATCTTCTCAGAGTAGCGTGGGAGAGGGACACTAAAACAGGGGATATAGATGGCCTTCTAGAGGATCAGCTAGGCGACAAAAGGCTTGTAAAGCAGTTCAAAGAAATGGTGAACAACGTGTTGGAGACCGGCAAAGATCTTACAATGTATCATTCGGTTGAAACTACTAGGGCAGGGCATGTAATTCACCTGGAGAACGGCCTGGCAGCCAAACAGGTTTTGGCCCTTCGGTGCCTTCATGCAGCTCTTTGTCCAATGAATACTACTGGTTATGGCTGCTTTCTCAGGGAGTTGGATGGCAAATTTCCAGGCCTGAGGAATGTGCTGACTTTGGGAGATGTGATCGACTTCATTCGAACTGGTCTTAAGGTTCCTGCGGATAAGCGAATTTTCCTATCTTGGTTTTTTGATGAAGTCAACAAGGCCCAACCTGAGCCCAGCCGCCCACCTGCATCGTCCTGGATTCATGATGCTTTTTCGGCCTACGTTCAACATATCAAAGATACCCGAGGTAGCCTGACGTTTCCTATACTTACAGCAGCAACGACCCAATTTGCCACGGCCACAATGCGCTACACGAAGGCTACAAGTATTTTTATACCTATCAGGCCTTTGAAAGAGACGGAGGTGGTTAGAGTTACGAAAATCTTCCTTACACGACTAGGAAATACTCTGGACATGGAGAAACCATTTGAGCTGAAGGACAGACTAAGGAACCTGATAAAGTTATCAGGAGGGAATCCTCGCATGCTTGTTCACCTTTTGAGAGGGTTGATGCCTGACCACCTTTCTTTGGATGCTTCGAAGTTTTATGAAAAGGTTTCTTCTGTTCTTTTTTGTTTTTTGTTTTTGTTTTTTCCCTTGATGTGATGTGAAATTTCTATGTTTATTACAGGTGAATCAAGATCTCACCCAAATCGATCTCCTTGAGACAATAAGGACTGCATGGGGTAATATCAGACGTGGTTTTTATTTTGGGTACCTTAAGGACGAGAGGTATTTGTTGGTGTTGCGAGCTTTTTATGTTGCGCTGCTGGGGACCCTGATCAGTCGGGAAGAACAAGTTTGGCCAGGTAGCAAATACGAAGATAAGTGGGGGTCTTTAGAGTCTTGCGGTTTAGTTGGACTCTTACGCAATGAGGTGCTTTTTTGATATTTCAGAGTTATTGCAAAACTTATGGGGTGTCAATGTACAGGAGCTGTCATCTAATAAGAAGATTAAATTATCAAAAGATGAAGATGCTGATGGAACGCGGTCT